AGCCATGTTGAGCCACCTCCCGCCTTTCCGTTTTGTAATCAACTTTCCACTTTCACAAAAGAAGTGCATACGTCTCACGATATGGTGTCTTCTTAGGGTGTACTGAACTTAGAAAAACATTTGTGAGACAAAGGGACAATTTGAAGTATTATGCAGGTGTTGATATAATAAATGGCTTTGACTGGGCAACAAATATGATTGCAAGTAGTTTCTAAGGTTTGCTTCCAACACAACTGAAGGAGGACTTAATTGAGCTGTAATTTGACAGATCATCGGAAAAAACGGGTAATAGATCACTATATGATGTTTGTCATATATCTCTGAAAACTTCAAAGAACTGAGTGATGTTGTATAACAAATAGGGCTTCCCAGGTGGTGCTAGCGGTAAAGAACCTGCCTGCCAATGCAGGAGACAAAAGAGACATGGGGTTTGATCCCTGGGTCAAGAAGATTCCCTGGAGGAGGGCATGGCAACCAACTCCAGTATTCTTGCTGGAGAATCCCCACAGACAGAGGAGCCTGGTAGGCTATAGTCCACAGGCTTGCTAAGAGTCAGACACAACTGAAACAACTTAGCAAGCATGCATGCAGACATAAAACAAATAACAAGTCCCTTTCCATTCCCATCTAGTTATGTGAACAGGTTTGTTAAGCAAAGGGATAAGAGATGACATCTCTTCTATAAAAAATGAGAGAACAAACTCTGTAACAAAATGATCAGAGAGGAAGCCAAGACAAATGAGCATGTTCAATTCACCTCCTTCAACCAGAAACAATTTAATGCATGAAGTCATGTTAATTTTTAATATGAGGGTAAATAGAAACTACCCAATTTGAAATCAAACATTTAATTACTTCAAGTCTGAAATTCTGGGCCACAGATAATTTTGGTGGTAGGAGTGGCGAGCAACAGAGACTAGAATGCTACTACAAAGTACTACACTGCTTGCTAATAAAGCAAATATACTGTAATAAGTTTCATTAACAGTCAACACTATACATAGTTACAAATTATGTATGTGTGTGTGATAACTTTTAAGATCTACTCCCTTAGCCACTTTCAAATTTAAAATACAGTATTATTAACTATTGTCACCATGACATACATCACATCCACATGACCAATTTACTCTATAACTGGAGGTTTGTACCTTTTGACCACCTTCACTCACCTTCCTACTGCTCCCCCACCCCCCGAACCCTGGCCACCACCAGTCTATTCTCTGTATCTATGAGTTCATGTTATTGTTGTTGTTGTTTTAGATTCCACATATAAGTGAGATCATTTGGAATCTGTGGTGATCATTTTGCAAAGTAGACAAATATCAAATCATTATGTTATACACCTGCAACTAATATAAGGTTGTATGTTAATTATATATCATTTTTTAAAAATAGAACAAGAAATACCATGCTGGATTGATAAAAAGAAGGCAGAGACAAAAATGCAATGGATATTCCATATGTAAATGACATGGTGGGTTTATAATCTTTGTCACTTTTGTATATACATATACACTATACACTATCTAAAAACTGATAATTTTACCTATAGCACTTTGCACTCTGCCTTTGATGAAATAGAACTGAGTGATTAGAGAGTACTAAGAATATGATCCTTCTTTCTAAATCACAGTTCAGCATCTTCTGTTACTATAGAAACATGTCTTCACATTAAAAAGTATAAATTAATAAGTCTAAACCAAAAAAGAAGAGTTTTAAAACCTTGGCATAATCTTTCCAAACATACATCTTCTGCATTTTTCTTTTCTCATAAACTATAATGCTTCCCATTCTTCCAGTTCCTCAAAGCAAATTTACAGATGAGTGTGACTATCTCTACTCAGAGCCAAGTTTATCTTTCACATAGGAAGCCAACTGCACATGGATTCAGTGATGATCCTTTGAAGAAGTCAGAAGAGCCATATCATTTTATCCTCATGCATGACTGAGGGGTATAAAATCCCCATTCCACCTCCAGGACTAAAGCACAACCCACAAACACCCACACAAACAAATAGCAACTCAGGATGAAATTGAACAAACTAGAGGGACTATCAATTGAAATTTTCCACTCTAAAACAATTTCATTAGAGATGGCAGTGCCAGAAACAGTACGTTATAGTTGACTTCCCCCAAATTACAATGCAGCTCAGAAACAAAGTCTCTATTATAATCTTTAGCAGAAGTTTTTAAGACCATTTTTATTTACTCCAAACTCTATGGAACAAAGTCAGCACCAGGCCCTTTGCGATTTTTACATCAAGTGTTTCCTGCTATAATTAAGGAAGCAGTGGAACTCAGAGCAAGAACCAAGAGAAAGCATCTTATTGACTGGTGGAATTTTAGGAATTTAAAATTTCTGTTTTGCTGTACAACTGTACTTTATTACCACTCTAAATCTTAAAATGTAATAAATACAAATTGCTTCAGTAATGATGGAAATCTTTCTCAGCTTTAATGAAACCTTTTATTTGCTACTGGAACTTTTATTATTTCCAAATGGTAGCATAGACAAGAAAAATAATGACTACTTATGTTGAGGGAAAACTGTAGCAATTTGAATAATTTTATTCTTGGGTGACTTTTAAGGCATTTGGAGTTGTTATGTTTACTGTTTTCATTTATTTTTGAAGTAAAAACAAAAAATATATACATATAGACACTATCACAAAATTATTTTCTAATTCTATATCAAAATACTGATAGCTATGTACCACTACCATCTGTCAGAGGTTGGTCTGATCTGATTGAGAATTTTCATGTATTTAGGGCTCCCTCACATCTCAGCTGTTGACCATGAGAGGCAGATAGTGTCAAGGTTAGTCACACGGGTTCTGCAGCTGGACTCCTTGGCTTTTTATTAGAGCCCTGACCCCTCCTACCTGTGAAATCTCTGAAAACTTCTCAGTCCTCAATTTTCTTATGTGTGGAAAGAAGAATGACTAGAATCTGCCTCCTGAAGTGAGTGGGAAGATTAATGAGGTACTTCCTATAAAACAGTAGACTAGAGTCTGGCACTTAATAAATATTTAGCCCTTATATGGTTTTCTTTTGTGAATCCATCCACCTCTAGACTGGATGCACTGTCAGATGATATCATTCATCCCGCAAACATCTGTTGGGCACTACTTTATACAGAAGTAAGCAGAGGGGGCACAACATGAAGGAGACACAGTGTCTACAATTTCAGTGCACGATTATTATTGCATCTTGCTATCTTACTTGCAGAGTACCATGAGGCACACTCTTTCACTAGATCACACATTTTCCTATTTTTCCCATGTGCTTGGAACTAATCGAGCTTCAGAAAAATTTCACTTCAGTTTCTGAAATCTTAATCATGCACAATTTAGTCAGCAGCTACAGGTTTTTCCACATTTGAAAATAGATGATTAAATGGTCTAATCAAATTCTGACTTAGCCAAAAACTTGAAAAACATAGGAAGACAACCATGACTGACACATTCATTTTCCTGAATGTGGACACTGCAAAAAAGCAGCTGCAGAAAAATAGTGCTATTTACATCCCACTGGCCCACAGCAACTAAAACTGCACGGGAAGTTCAGCATCAACCCTTCAGGTACCTAAGTGTTAGTCATTCAGTCGTGTCTGACTCTTTTTGACCCCATGGACTATAGCATGCCAGGTTCCTCTGTCCATTGGATTCTTCAGTCAAGGATACTAAAATGGGTTTCCATACCCTCCTCCAGGGATCTTCCAGACGCAAGGATTGAGCCCCCATCTCCCGCATTGCAGGCAGATTCTTTACCATCTGAGCGACCAGAGGATCCCCTCAAGTATCTAAACTAAATTCAATTTAAGATAAAATAGGAAGGTTATTTAGACATAGTTTCATCACTTTCCAAAAAGTTCTGAAACTGACTTCCAACAGGTCACCTTATAGGCCTTTCATTTTTTCAATTTCATTTATGTCTCGCGTTCAGAGAATTCATTAAAAAGCAAAATCTTTAAGTTTGACTATAAATCCCGAACCCAGCGACTAATGTGGTATTTCAGACATCACAAACTCCAAATGATCTTAAATATGTTGTCCTCTGCTAATTTGCTGCTCTTGAAAATGTGCCATAAATTCAATTAAAAAGGAAAGTATCTTCAAATTAGTTGCAAGATCAACTAGGATATTATCTGCTTACTAGATGTATCATAATAAAAAAAAAAACCCATCTAATCTGCATTACACTGTTTTATTCAGAAGGAAACTGGATACTCTCTCTTCCAATAAAAGGACTAAGATCCGTTGGGGGTTGGTTTTATTTTTTTCTTTTCAACAGCCAGTAATGACTGTGTTAACTTTCTAAAACAGACTGAATAATTGCCAAAATATGTCTTCCGAGGAGTCACCCTGCCCAACACAACAGGAGATCACGTGTAAACACATAGGTACCCAACTTCTTCCTTCTTGCCTTCCTGCATCACACCACCTCCCCTTGTCACAATATTTTTTTAAAAACCCCTATGATCCTTTTGAGATGGGGCAGATAAAAATCCTGAAATATGGGGTACCCTCACAGGAAACCTCCCTCAATGCGTGTTAAATCAACACACAACTTGTTTGTATGCAAGACGCCACAGTGAGAATTTCTCTCTAAGCCTTGATTCTCCAAACGAATGCGCATGTTTTGACCTTTGCTTTTGTATTTAAACACGTATGTTCCACCACGCAGGATCCTCTTGGTCTCAGCTAACGTCCCCGCTTAATGCATGCATTTTTCACATCCATTTTTTAATCCTTCCTGAGTGAACATTTTAAAGGGGGCAAACGTCATGGAAAGAAGTGAGGGAGGGGAGGGGAGAGATACGAAGCCTGGGATGTCTGCCATCCTCGCTGCGACCCAGAATCCGTCTTCTTTTCCTCCTCTCCCCAGCCCCCACTCCCCGCTCGCCCCTTCCCTCAGCAGCAGGAGGAAGGGGCGGAGGGGCCGCTGGCTGCAGCCGCCACCTGCCGCGGTGTGGAAAAACTCCGGTTGTCACTTACCCAACGGGGTGAGAATGGCTCATTTTTGCAGGATCCCTTCCGGACCCACGGCGGGCACGGAGGGTGGGTTCGGGGGACCCGTGCACGCCGGGGCCGCGACAGTCGCCCTTGCCGGGTGGTTCCGCACTGCGGTCGCCAGTGCGCGGGGCGCTGGGGCTGAGCCGCCGCCCCTGGGCGCCCGGGCGGCACGCAGCCTCCCAGGCCCTCACCCGCCCGCGGTATCCACTGCCTCAGGTTGCTAAGGCGGGAAGGAAGGCAAGCCGGGAGGATTTATAGAAGCCCAGGCGCTGCTGGAGCCAAGCCCAGGGAAGCTGGAAGTGAAGCCCAGCTTCCAGCGCTTTTACTGGGCCCAGATGTGAGAGGACGCCCAGGCCTCTGCGCTGTAGCTCTGGGGCTCTTGTTCCCTAGGCACCTGCGATCTGAACACACACACCCACTATGCGGGCAGGTTCCCTAGGCACCTGCGACGTGAAAATACACACACACGCCCTGCTTAGGCGGGTGTGCTTTCTGCTAGGCCCTGGGAAGGGAGGTTTCGTTAATTAAGAGCAGGGAGCAGCTACTGTATTGATACCTTGGTTTCCAATTGTAAAACAGACCCTAGATTGCAAGTTCCAGGCAAAGAAAGCAGCTCTGGCTTTTGATTTTCTTTCTGCAATTGCCAGAGATTGCTGTTCCTGGATTTCCTCCTTGGAAAACCCCCAACCTTGCTCCTAACTGAGGTCACCACTTCTCGCAGACAGGGCTGAGGGTTCTGACTTTCAGAAGGTGGGAAAGATGCTGGGAAGCACGCTGGCACCTGGAACTTGTATTTGAATCTTGCCTAGGGAAAATGCAAGGCTTAGACAAAGAAGCCTGGGTTTATTCAACTGGGCCTTTGTGTGGAGGAAGTTGAAAGCCCGGGATTCAGATGAGCTATTCCTAGTCCTGTTTTTGCTTTGTCAGGTTCTATGCTGGGTAATTTGAGCTCCGGCCTCAGGTTTGCTTTGTATAAACCAGGGTTGGACACGTTCAAGGTGACTGAGTTCAGAATGGATCTCAGTTCTAGCTCAGCCACACTTAGCAATGTGAAGAGCATCACCTCATTAATGGCATTCTGCTTTCCCACACGTCCTAAAGCCCCATCAAGAACGTCAGAGTCAGTCTCCTTCACATGACATTCAAGTCCCTTTATCATATATCCCCAGCATCCTTTGTCAACCTCATTATCTCCAACTTTTTCCAACCTCAACTTTCTCCACCTCTGCTACCCTAAACTCTAGCAAGATCAAATTTGCACTTTCCCTCTCTTGGGAACATGCTTCTACTCTGACAACTTGACAAACTTCTATTCATCCTTCAACTCTTACCTCAAATCTTGTCTTCTTTGACATCTCCAGTGAGTTGATGACTCCTGCCTCTGGGGTCCCTCTCTGCCTGGACATATCTGTTTCACACTTACTTACTGATCTATGGCTGCCTTTCCTACTTGAACCAGAGCTTCTCCATTTCATGGTGTATATCTGTTTTATTTTTCAGTAGTCTCAGAGGCAAACAGCAGTTTAACAATTGTTTGGAGTATAAATGAAGGAAAAAAGAAAAATCTCTTCAAAGTGGTAGCATTTTTACTGAGTACTTACTAAATGCTCCCCTTGGTCTTTTATTGAGCACTTACTAACTGTTCATTATCTCACTTAATCCTCACCTCTGTTCTCTAAAGTTGGCTTTTTTCCTCCATTTCATAAGACGCAGAGAAGTTATTTATTTTGCCTGAAGTGTATAATAGCTTCTAACTGGAAAAACCAGGATTCAAATACAACTCTGATTCCGAAACCTGTATTTTTAACAATTACAGATTCCTTTCCCCATAACTCCTGTGCATTGCTGCAGAAGTCCGATTTTCTATACTATCAGAGTTTTCTGACCTGAAAGACCAAAAGTCATCTCTGTAGAGACAAAATAGCATTCTAGCTCAATAGCTTAGGTCCTGAGACAGAGGACTCCAAGCTGCTTTGGGGAACAGATGGTTAGAGCAGCTAGAGAGAGGTCAACGTTGTCAAAGAAGAAATATGTGATCTGTAAAAGTGGCATTTTATGTTTAAACGAGGAAACCTTATAGACAGATATCTCATCACTGCACAGCCATAAATGACACTTGAGCCCACCCTTCCCCCATAAATTTACTCCTATTGATTGTGGGTTCCCTTGGATGATGTCCTTAAAGTTCATTGTAAGTAGATTTCACCTGGATAAAAACTGGGAGGGAGAGAGAAGGGACTGCAGAGAGTCTTCATCATTTTCCCAAGTGCTACCAACCCCTAAGGATGGTGTGAATAAAATAATATTATGTAAGCACTAGTTGTTACATATTAATTCATTTGTGCAAATAGAAAGTGGTATTCTCTCACTGGTGGAATGAGAAAGAAAATTAAGATCCACTATTTAGATACTCAGGGTTCTGTAGGAAAGACTATCTAGCACTCAGCAGACAGTGAGTTACCCTGAGCAGCATGTAATAATTCATAAATGGGGTTTGAGTTCACCACCCTTGCAAGCTGCACAATTTCACATCCCTGATGAAAACTGCAAGGAAGCTACTAATTTTCACTTCAGAAAATGCTCACTGTGAGAATGCATTGGGAATTTAGCCAGAAGGAATTTTTATGTTAATTTCTAGTATGGAGATGGGAAAAAGGAAAAGAGGGGGAAAAAAAAAAAGTAAATTAAACTGTTTCAGAGACCAAATAGTCACTAGAGTCATTTTCATTTTCTCACAGGGAAACAAGTCCCCAGATGTCCCTGGTAGTATCATAAATACAAAGAGATTTCTCTTTTGTACAAAGACCTGTGGAATTGTGCTTTGGGGATAAGAGGCTGATAGAAGCAGGAGAGAAGAAATACAAGGATTACTCCTAGAATGCTGATTGGATCTCTGCTTTGGTTCAATACTAGGTGAACCTGGGAATCACAGATCTAAACCATCAGTGACCAACTCCTAGGTCAGGGGTGGGAAATCCATGGCTCAAGGGTCAAATCCATGTGGCTGCCTGGTTTTGTACATTCCACAAGTGTAGAATGGTTGCTACATTTGTAAGTTGTTTGAAAAAGTCAAAAGAAAAAAATAATGTCATAGGATACATGAACATTACATGAAATTCACATTTCAGGATCCATAAGTAAAGTTTTGTTGGAACAGAGACACACATTTGTTTATAAATCACCTATGGCTGCTTTGGTGTTACAAAGGCAGATTGAGTAGTGTCACAGTGACCTTATGACTCACAAAGTCTAGAATATTTACTATCTAGTCCTTTACAGAAAAAGTTTGTCCACCCCTGGCTTAGATCGTCACTGCAGTCAGAGAGGTAATTACCCTCCTGAACTTTGAGAACAGACACCAGATCTTTTTATCTTTTATCCTCAGTACCTACCACACTGCTTCTCACAAAGTATATTCAACAAGCAAATGAAGGAAAGCACAAACAGATGAGGAATAAGTTTTCCCAAGGGTTTATTTTCTCCCACAGGTAAAGATCAACTCATCAAGATTTCTCCTCAGATGTAACAGACATGCATGATGATCTGATGTGACCTTCTTTTAGCAGCACTGTATATAACTCCACTTTATTTTCTTGGGCTCCAGAATAACTTCAGATGGTGACTATAGCCATGAAACACTTGTTTCTTGGAAGAAAAGCTATGACCAACCTAGACAGCATATGAAAAAGCAGAGACATTACTTTGCCGACAAAGTAACGGTTTTTCCAGTAGTCATGTATGGATGTGAGAGCTGGACCATAAAGAAACCTGAGCACCAAAGAATTGATGCTTTTGAATTGTGGTGTTGGCTCCCTTGAGAGTCCCTTGGAGAGCAAGGGACTGTCCAAGTCCCTTGCTTTTAGTGCAGAAATCTGAATCCTGGGAGTAAGTGTTATGCTTGAAATGCATGAGTGTGATCAGCTTCATACTTAATAATGCATATTTTATTTTTAAAAATCAATATTTTTATTATGAAATATATACACAGAACCATGCACAAAACTGCATGGTTTTGTGCACAGTCACATCCCAAAGGGTGTCAATCCTAAAGGAAATCAGTCCTGAATATTCACTGGAAGGACAGATGCTGAAGCTGAAGCTCCAATACTTTGGCCACCTGATGTGAAGAACTGACTCATTGGAAAACATCCTGATGATGAGAAAGATAGAAGGTCAGAGGAGAAGGGAATAACAGAGGATAAGATGGTTGGATGGCATCACTGACTCGATGGACATGAGTTTGAGCAAGCTCTAGGAGTTGGTGATGGACAAGGACGCCTGGCGTGCTGTAGTCCACAGGGTCGCAAAGAGTTGGACACAACTGAGTGACTGAACTGAACTGATGAAACTCCAGTGGGACTTCCCAGGTGGCTCAGTGGTAAAGAACCCACCCGCCAATGCAAGAGATGCAGGAGACGTGAGTTCGGTCCCTGGGTTGGGAAGGTCCTCTGAGGGAAGAAAAGACAACAGCCCGCTTCAGTATTCTTGCCTGGGAAATGCCATGGACAGGAGCCTGGCAGGCCACAGTCCATGGAGTCACAACTGAGGGTCACATGACTGAGCATAAAACTCCAGTAGAAAGTAGTGTAAGCATTTCATCGGGACACAACTGTAGATGGTTACGTTTATAAGAGCTTTCTAATCCTGTATCCTCCAACATTAGCTTGGGTCCTTCAGAACTGCAGCATTGAGAAGTTGGAAAATAAAGAACAAATGTACAAGGATTTAATTTCAAACCTGAGTTGTTTTCCAGCTTTCCCTAATAATCTTCCCTAATTAGCTTAATTCCAGTGAGTCTTAGTGAAGCATGGTGTTGGGTATTATGTAGGAAGGCGTTAGTAAGCATATACAATGGATAGAGTGACGAACTCAAGAGGACAGTCCTAATTAGAGTTCTGAGCAACTGGAATAGGCAAGGCGTCTCCAAACCCTTCTACCTCGATTGCTGAGCTAGACAGAATCTACAGACAGATTGGAATGGACATTCAATAGACTTATTTAGTGA